GCCGTCCGTGCTTAAAGTACTACTTTTTGGGTCTCAAAACCGTGGAAAACTGGCGATTTAAAGCTGAAAGTAGAAAAATACTTTTTAGGGGCTTATATTAATAAAATAAAAAGTAAATTTTGAATAAATGATTCAGAACTGACCACAGCTATAACCTCAAAGCTATAATATTTTGTATCAACTCTTAAAACTATTTTTATTTACTGTTTTTGTGACTTTTGTGAACTCCACCTTATAAAGTTAACTGCGTCGCGTCGAAGTTGACATCAACGTCGTTCCCACTTTTTTTGTCATTAACTATTCACGTATAAACTGTTTAGAGTTTTTACCAACCCCATGGAGTTGCTGACAATTTACTTTTATCAGATGCCACATTAAGGTGCGATGTACTTTTGCAATCCTGCACGCAATAAAAGTTCCAAGTGAAAAAAATTAACGACGCTCAAAAGCCAACGCAGTAATTGTTGATATTTACGGGAAGGAGCTATTAAAGAAGTAAACATGAACGAATTGGACGAAATTATAGCAGAAAAACGATTTGCTTGCTTTTTATTCTTTTATCTTCCGTAAAAACGTTGGAAGACATCAATAAATTTGAGTTTGTTTGCTTAACTAAGTGGTAATGGACAAAAAAGCTTCACGAGTGCAACGAACGTTTTTATTTATAACACAACTAGCTTTAACGCTTGGCTTCGCTCGCGAATATCTAAAATAATGAAGTTGCTTCCGTACGCGTCTGTAGTCACAGAAGAAGTAACAATGAAGTAGAATGGCGGGAAGTTTAAAATGGCTGAAAGTATAGTCTATGGAAGTATAGTGTACAGTCTCCATAGTGTAGTCAATTGGATTTGATGTTGACGTAGCTGTCGGTAATACAGTGTGATAATACAGTGTGATGGTACTATAGTACTTAGGTTTGAGATTCATTGCTGGAATGCTAGATGGCGTTAATGTAGTCAAATAGCCAGATGCAGAGGTATTATTGGCTAAACAATTTCTTTATTTTATTTTAAAAATAATTTTTTTTATTAAATAAAAAGTATCCTATAACCATTCGGGGACCACTAAGAATATGTGTACAAATTTTCATGATGATCGGTTAAGTAGTTTTTGCATGAAAGTGTAACAAACATCAGGACTTTCGCATTTATAATATTAGTAGGGATAAGTAATTTGCGCGAAATGTTTGTCTATATACTCACTGAATTAATTGCATAAATAAATAATTTGCATCAAATATTCATAAATCATGAATTGGAGTAAATTTATCATGACAATTTGATAATTAATATCGCTTAAATAATAAATGCGTGTTTTATTGTTATAAAGAATGCACGATAAACTAGGAAACATCCGCATTGAATGCGAAATTAACTGCATTTGCATAGTATCACTTGTGTTGGTTGCTAGTATCGCAATGCAGATGTTTTAAATCCATCCTCGCGACTGAAATATTCAACGCCCGCAGTGCAAACAAGAAGTAACGCCTGAAAAACGTAATAATAGAAAGTTATGAAAAAAATATGCAAAACGTTTGGCTTTAATTCTATGTGATTTCCGGTCGGGGCGATATAAGTGCTGGAAACACACGTTTCATGCAAAACACGGAAACATGTACACTTGTCATGTTGTCACATGGAAATTGAAAATGATTATTCATTACTTTGGGTTTTATTATTTTCATACTGTCAGAGTTTCAATTTCAAGTTCAGAAAAATACTTTTTTTTGTTTCAGTTTTTTATGCTTTTGAAACATAAAAAGTGATACATTAAACACGGAAGGCCAAAGCCGTGACTAAAGTACTTTAGTCACGGGTGTTATTTACGGGGTGGAGTTTGCGCCTGCGCATTTGCCTGCGGTGCAGCACAAGACCGTATGAAATGTCATGCGCCGTCAGTCAAACAAAAAAAACGTTTGTTTTTGTTTGTTTTTTAATTCTTAAAAAGTGTTCCTATCGTGTTATTTTTTGTTGGGAATATTGCTGTTTTTATCTGAACGTGCGTGAATTTTTCCAAACACGATGATCTCGCAATATTCAAAGCATTTCCATCGCGTTGCTCGTAAATCGCAATTTCATTTCCGCTCCATTCGTTCCACATTGATCCACGCACAAAAGGTAACAAAACAATCGGATGAATAGAACACGTTTTAATTTTATTGAAGTAAATATTGCAAACAAAATATTTGCATAGAAATGAATAAAAACGGTAGATATTTTTAATTACAGTCGAATTTATGATGGCTGAAAGTGATAAATGTCGACTCATTCTGCACCTACGGATAAATCCTCGGTCATAAACTCGCTCATAAATTTTGCGCACGCAAATGCACGTTTTGTGTATACATTTTTTGTTTGTTTGTATTTTTTCGTGGTCATAATTTTATTGTAGTCAAGGTTTACGTTGAGTATTTTTCTTGTAAATGGTTAGGTGGAGAATTATTCTAATTACTAATGCACATGCATAGGTTTGAAGAGGTTAAAGTTTCAGGTGAGATTATTATCACTTGTTTAAATAATGATAACTGCGCAATAGAAAAATTATGTGTTTTGTGTTATGCACCTATCTACACATTGCAAGGATATCAAAATATAATAAAACAATAAATTTCTTGATGCGACAGTAGATGACCTTTTATTTTATTAGATTAATTATGTGTGCATGTTTTTATTCAAGTTTTATTGTGATACTAGCTTTAACCCTTGGCTTCGCTCGCGAATATCTAAAATAATGAAGTTGCTTCCGTACGCGTCTGTAGTCACAGAAGAAGTAACAATGAAGTAGAATGGCGGGAAGTTTAAAATGGCTGAAAGTATAGTCTATGGAAGTATAGTGTACAGTCTCCATAGTGTAGTCAATTGGATTTGATGTTGACGTAGCTGTCGGTAATACAGTGTGATAATACAGTGTGATGGTACTATAGTACTTAGGTTTGAGCTTCATTGCTGGAATGCTAGATGGCGTTAAAGTAGTCAAATAGCCAGATGCAGAGGTATTATTGGCGAAACAATTTCTTTATTTTATTTCAAAAATATTTTTTTTATTTAATAAAAAGTAGCCAATAACCATTCGAGGACCACGAGGAATATGTGTACAAATTTTCATTATGATCGGTTAAGTAGTTGTTGTTAAGTAGTGTAACAAACATCAGTACTTTCGCATTTATAATATTAGTAGGGATTTGCCAGGGGAAATCGATTCTGGATTATTGTTTGAGTTAGAGTAAAATTAAAACCGCACACAGGGGTACTACTAGTTTAGTAGCGCAGAAGTGCGCAACCCAATATACATTCACTAACTGCTGCACTTCAAATAATCACAAATCGAAGTTTGATGCAATGAAATAAATCATTTTGTCTTTTACAATCAGAATTTATTTATTTTGTGATAATTAAAAACATTTTTTGTTTATTGTGATGTGAGCCAGACATGACACCGTCTGCTCATAAATATAAATAATAAAACCTAATAATACCCCTTTATAAATAGCACCACACAGCGCAATGATTGAAAGCTGAGAATGCCGATATCAAACACTGAAATCCACAAAAAATCAATTACACCATCGCACCTGCAATCAAGAAATTTATCCACACAACACCTAAAATAAATCTGTCTGAGAAAACTTTCTTTAAGCATGACAAATTAAGCCATTACAAAACTGCGTTAAAAAACTGACTAATTTGTATTTATTAAATTGTTTTGTGATTTATATGGATTTAACAATTTTGTATGAGTTTTACAAAATTGTAAAATCCATATAAATCACAAAACAATTTAATAAATACATCTTATAAACATGGACTACGTATTCAAATTAGAAAATAATAAAACTGACTAATTTGTAAAGAAAAATTCAATGTTTTAATAAATAATGAAGTTATTTACTTCATAACACATAAACGAGGTAAACAAGCTAAATTTGGGGATTACCATGGTGCGGGTAATTTAAATTGTGTTATTTTAATGAAATATTCTGTTTGCTTGTTGTGTTTCTCTTAGTTTCCAACAATATGGCGTTGAGTTTGTAGCTGACCACAAACCGCTGGCAACTCGACGCACAGCATTCACCGCCGGACCCGTTTTTATCATTTAATTAAATGCATCGTTTTCATCTTTTCGCCGCTGAAAAACCAACCACGCATTTGTTCTACGAGTATATATAATTGTTAACGTTATTATCATGACGCGTTTGTTCAAATCATTTCGTTCTTGTGTTGCTTGTTAGCTAAAATACAAATATTGTGGTTGAAGGAAGCAAGGTCGAAAGGACTAAGGGATGCCATTGGTAATATGAATATATTACAAAATATAATACAATTAATTATATTTAGGTGAATATGTTTATTAACTTGTTAAATAACTTTTTTTTCTATTTTTATCTTTCAAATGTTAATTTTTCATGGTTTTGAAAAAAAAGTGATACTTTAAACACGGATATGACTAAAGTACTTTAGCCACGGATTTTAGTCACAGGTGGAGTTTGCGCTTGCGCATTTCTCTAAGGTGCAGCATTTGGTACTTATTAACAAAGAAAAACAATCAATTACATTTTCAAGTGTATAATACATTGTTTTGTACCCTTAATCTGTAATATTTTATTTGTTCACAACACGTGTCTGTTTTTAAGTTTCAAGTTCCAACAATAACCCTCTTAGAAAACGTAAAAAGCACTTAAAGTATAAACGTTCCAACTTTTTTCTATTTTCTATTAAACTCGAACAAAACCGATCCCTAGGTGTTTCTTTGTTTCACCTCCGTTTGAAGCACCTACTAGTACCTAAGCTCCCAGGTAGAATCAAGTACGTGGACAACACGGAATGCATTCCCCATTCTCGAAGGCAAGCTATAAGTACAATGTTAGAAGGTCTGAGGCCTGAACCTTGACCCATTCCGCGTTCGACGGCGGCCGCTCGTGAGGGTCATGTGTGAGTGCGCGCGTCGACCGCCTCCCGAAACCATCCGCCGCCGCCGCCGCCTACGCCGCCGTCGAGCGTTAACCGTGGCCGCGAGAACTTGCACTCAAACGGTCGACGCGTATCGTGTGCGACGCATCGCGAGCGTAATCCGTGGCGTCGCGACGCTACTCAACTGTTGCTCCAAGCTGCGCGAAAGTTGCGAAACTTTTCAAGTATCAGCGCTGTATAATATTTCATCAACTGCGTGTGTGATTCGAAATAAATATCATCGAGTTGGTGAAAAACTTAAAGTGTATTTGAGAAAAAAATTGTGTGGGAAAGATTTATGATGTTATCACGCTTGACTAAAGCTTAAATAACTAAATAAGTGCTTCGAGTAAGATACATTATAAAAAATCATCGGATCTGCGCAAAAAGTAAAGTGAAAAGCTTAAAAAATCATTTTTTTCTTTTGTAATTTTTTTATGGACAATTTGCTTCGATCTCTTCTGATTGAGACCGATTCAAATAAAAGCCAACGCATCGCATAATTCAAATATCAATCATCTCACTTTTTGTTCCTGTGCCGACCGTGCTAAATCAAACAAAACCATAAAAAACACCAGACGGACAAATGATCACTTCAATTCTCCTCGCAACATATTAATAGTCTAATAATTTTGAGGATTAAAAAAGCAAACAAATGATTTTATGATTTTTTCCAAAGCTTTGTTCATCGTCTATGTATTTTTTTAAAATTTAGTTAACTTGAGTGCTTTCCAAGTGTTTTTCCAGCTCGAAAATCGCTGCGTTTGGAAATTCAATACGCTTGCAAATGTTTGCAAAGCATTCTAAAACGTTGGCGAAACGTTTAAGAGCATTTCGACGTGAAGTAAAAAGTCCGCAGAACTAAAACAAACCGCGCTAAGTCAACGAAACTAGAATTGAACACCAGCGTGGTCCGAAACGTCGAGAGATGCAGAAATTATTGGGCAAATGTTTGCACGACTTGTAATTACCTTTGCGGGTTCGAGGGCGTCTTCAGGCGCGCTAGAAATTATCATATTAATTGGAATATATCTGCAGCGATACTCCAGGGGCAAGACAAGCAAACACAACTGGACTCAGTGAATTAATTTTACAATATTGATTTTTAAATTTAATTTTTGTTGTTTTTGTTGATTTTATCAATTTTTTAATGAATTTATTACTTTTTATTGCTTATAACATAAACTTCATTATTACATCGATAACAAGTCATCAAACACGTATAACACTCATTAACGCCTTGACATTAAAACACCCTGAAGCCTCAAGAGCAACAATAACGACGCGTACATAATTTTAATAGCTAATGGCATAATAACTGATTCATGTTCGATGTTCGCCGCATGTGTACAGCAGTATATTAAAACGAAAGCAAAAGTGGATAATGGTTAATTAAATAAATGTGTTTTCCACTTTTCCACAGTGGCGGCGCGCAGTTGTTCGAGCCGTGCAGAAGAGACTCGCATTACAAGTGCTTTTAATTAGATCGAACGCGTCTCTTTATCGTGCGAGCGGCGAAGACTTTCGGGCGATGGCGATGTCGAGGGAATGCTAACGAACAATGCAGGTAACGTGTTTTTCTCTGTTCATTGGTTTTAATTAAGAGTTTACGCGTCGAAGCCTAAACGAGTGAAATTAGCGTGGGAATTCGCCGAGAGGTAAATAATTATAAGTTAGGTTAAATAACACAACATGGATAAATGTGTGTGGAATGAAAATAATTTATTGTAAGCGCATAATCCGTCTGCAAAGTTTCAGAATTAATTAATTTTAAATTGGCAGGTTGGAAAAAAGTGGAGAAATGTTTGGTTTGAAAATTTGGCGCCTCCACCAAAATTTATTTTGTTAAAATTATTAAGTAAATGTAAGAATTATTAGATTATTACTACAGGATATTAAACACAATTTAAATGCGCATCTTTTATTTTAGTAAAATTTTCTTCTATCACTTTTAGTTTAAGAGTTATTAACGTTTTAACATTAAAATTTTATATTTTTGGAAAATTTGAATTGATTTTGATAGATCTTGTTTTTTTAAACAGGATACACAGGATGTTCACATAATTTGTTAATCTACTTATTTATAAAAAAGAATCAATCCCCAATATGACATTTTACATAACCCAAAGTTAATATTTTTTTATTTTTTATTTTTTTTTTATTTTTATTTTTTGTTTATGCGTCATTGTTTTATGCCTGCATTTTTCAATAAGACAGGCTGTTAATGTCAGCGTCGACAACTTTATACTATTAAACATGGGTCGGCACCCCTGATATTAAGAACGTTGGTGGCTGGGCACCGTTCCAACTTGCAAAAAACCCTCGCCACGTTTTGCGCCCCCGCCGATATTTACATTTGCCATGCGGTCGTAAACAAAAAAAAAACAAAGGATATACGAGGGTGCCTCATAGCGTAATCCATCATTCGTATCCAGCCGGCTGAATTTGAAAATTTTTGATGTCGCACAATATATTAACAATAAAATATTTGAGAATGAAATATGTATAATCATGTCGTAAAGTAATGTGGTAGATTAAGGGTGAAATAAGGAATAAAGCAAACACATTGTTTGAAATGGTAACAAAGCAACACAAAACACAAAACAGAAAATGAGTAATAATGGTGATTGTGTGGTTGAAAGAAGAATGAAACTAAAAATACGATGTTTTTATGTGTTTTAAAAGTTTTCAGCTATTATACCGGGTTAATTTCATGAAAACAACACGCCAAACACAAATTAATTAATTTTTTACTTTCACATTTATAATGCTAATTTTTTTCACGGTTTTGAAATGTGAAAAGTGGTACTTTAATCACGGGACACCAAAGCCGTGACTAAAGTAGTTAAATAATACAGAAATTTTCTACAAAGTCCTAAAATAGAGATAAACCTCTTATATCCCTCTAAAACCTGAAACTGAAAAAATAAAATAAAACGTTTTAGAAGAAGATATCTCTTAAAACTCCATGTTCAATCTTCTGATCTCACAACCACAAACCTTATCGACTGTTCCTAATACTAAAATCAGTAGCGGTCACCAGAAGCCCCAAGGCCCAAAACCGTGCGGGTGCCAAAAGTTCGACGCTGAATAAATGATACTTTTTAGGCACGTCGCGCTCCGATTTGCGGTTGAGCGTCCGAGATTTGCTTGTTCTCCGCAATGCCCACCCGCACCCATTTGCTCAACGACCCTTTGGGTGACGCTGACGGACCGCAAGCGCTGTGTGTGCACAAAGCGCCTCGCCGGACGTTACAAACAGAAACGGCAAGGAGACCCGGAATGTCGTTTTGTCTTCTATGCGCATTTTTCATTCGTGACTTTATCCCTACGGACAATGCGGCTGCAAATTAAAATGTTTTTTAGTGTCCTTGAGTTAAGTATCATAAACTCACGGTTTTATGGTGGAATTAGTAAGTTGAAAGGATATTAAAGTACAGATTGATGATAAGATTAGATGGGAAAGCAATAATTGTGATTTTTATAACCTATTCAGGTGATAGTTTATTGAAGTTTGAAATTCATTAAAAATAATTTCAGTTAAATTAGTTTTGGAGTAAATTTTGAAAATTTTAGTTCAATACCGGTATTTCGATATTTTTTTAAATGAAAATATCAATATACCGGTATTTAAAAAATTATTTAATTATTTTTTGTAAACGTAAGCTCCACCCCGTGACTAAAGCCCGTGACTAAAGTATTTTAGTCACGTCTTTGACCATCCGTGTATAAAGAATCACTTTTCGCATCATAAAAAATATTTTTCTGAGTAAAATAAAACTTTTAACAAAAAATAATTCCAGAGTCTCCTCATATCGACCGTGGCATATTCTCAGATTAAATTCTGATGCTCCCTCTTCAACCGAGACAATAAGTCAATGATAAAATCAATAGCGCTAATTAGAATCTAAAATTACGCCGCCAGTGCGAAACAATAAGCACAACAGCAAATACCCACAACGTCTCTGTGCTCATTAAAGCAAATTATCGCTTCAAGTCATCAGACTATCGCAAAATTTCAATGCGTTTCGTAAAAACTTCCTCAATGGGAAGTTTATGAAAAGAAGTCGCCTCCAGCGCAGATCTTGTTGAGATTTGCGCTTGCGCTTATATTATACCATATATTTTTGTGCTGCGATGAGCTTTTGATCTTTGAACGCGTTTTTTGTTATTGTTTGCTAATGGCATGCGCGTCCTTGGCGATATGTTGGTGCGCTTTATGTTTTCGATTGCAAACGTGGAGCGTAAACAAATGTTGCCATATTCTTGAGCGCACTTTGCATAATTTTGCGTTTATTTCGTGGATATTTATAAATGTTCATGTTCAACACGCGTATACAAATGTCATGTGTGTACCTATCGCTCATGCTTTGATGTATTCGTCGGAATGGGAATCTTGACAGCTTGCACGGAAACGTAGTTTAGTTAATAAACGGACGTGTGTGATGGAAGCAATTTTGCAAACTGGATTAGACGGCGGGTGAAAATTGAAATACGTCAATGCAGGTGAAAAACTAGTTGCATCGTGAAGTTCAATATTTCACCATGGAAAAATTTGTTTTAATAAATAAACATTTGTTTTTCTTTTTCACATTTTTTCGGACATAAAAAATGATATTTTAATCACGGACAATCAAAATAGTGAAAAAAGTACTTTAGTCACGGGGTGGAGCTAGCGCATGCGCAGTCAACAAAAATTCTCGTTTAGCCACTGATACTCAATATTTTATTTTCCACTCGTAGTAAATTTTAATTTTACGGCAGAAATAAAATTTCATAGCAAAACATTCGAATAAAATTCATTCATGCAGTCCTCAAATATCCAAGGAGTTCAATGTGGACACATTTTCAACAAAACCCATAAAACTACCCCTTTCTATACATTTATTACCGAAAGCACATAACCCCCGCCCGAGTTAATTGAATTTTGAAGTACTTGATATTTAATGCTCATTGTGTGCACCTCAGCTCAATGCAGCGTTACATCAAATTCGTTTTACAGTTTACTCAACCTTTTTTCCATTTCCATTCACATTTTCATTGAAATTTATTTTTAAATAATTTTATCAGCCGTGACATATTCAGGAGCCGTGTCAGGTTTGTGATGCAAATATTTTGGCGCCACCCGAAAATCTCGAAATTTACATAACAAACTCTGACAGTTCTTCATTCGTTATCACATTGTGCATGCACATCGCTAAATTTCCCCTGTTATTTACGCTCGACGCGCAGCATAACGCCAAAGGCTTGCCTGAAATACTGCACGATTAATTTTTAACTCGTTTTTAAGCTTCCGCTAAGCGTTTCGGGACGTGCGTGCTGTGTTTCATCCGCATTATTATTGCATTGTCTAATATTCTCGGCTTGTAACCTTCGTTACTCTTCGTTACATCGCACAACAAAAGGAAAAATAACCGTGGGGTTAGGACACGTACCTTAACCTACATCAACGCGTCGACTCGTGTTCACATTTCTTCATTTTCGCCCGGGTTTTTGACGCGCAATTTCTCCTCGCACTTACAGAAACTCCAAAAACTCCATGGAAAGACGTGTGATGAGAATCCGCACGTCGTTCAACGCGTATATATCCCTGCATTGCATTTTTAACGTTTCAATCTTGGAAAACACTCGGCTTTTGCATCTGTCGAAATAATCTCGTATGTTGTAACTGAATAAAAATTCAAGCGTGTGTGGTAGTGTGATGTTTGTCGACTTTGTTGTATTGCTTTGCTTCTTATGCGATTTCCTGCTTTTTCTTTGGGGTATCTTTTCAGCAGTGGGCATGAATAACGAAAGGAATTGCTACCCTTCGCCGTTATCCATATCCGAATGATATTTATGCGATTTACGATGCGTTTTCCTTCCTCTGAAAAAAAAAATAAGAAAAAAAAAACAGAAAAACCGTCTTATAGCTTTATCTAAACATGATGTGATATTCTACACGATTTTTTTTTATCATGAAAATATCCCAGACTGTGTGAAGGAGAGAAAAAGATGAAAAGCAACCATGTGCCACATAACACGATACATATAACAGACGATATGAAAAGAGTCGATTAAACACTTTATGAACTTACCTCATTGCATCCAACGTATGAGTGTGAGTGTCGTGAGTGTCGCTTTTGTCGATATTTCATCACTGATGCTTGATCTCATCGCTGCGTCCTTCCACACTTTTCTCCAATAAATTTCCATTCGAGCGAGTAACGTGCTCGTCTGCAAAAGCACCAAAATTGCTTCTGCTTCTTGCTTCTGCAACAGCAGCAAATGAATAGCAAGCGATGCTGAAGAAATAAAAAAACGTATCTGTACCGCAAAACACTCGAATGAAAATTCATTGAAATGATTAAAATGTAAAGTTCACCTGGAAATTTACATGCATCTGGCATCTGAACTTCCTCATCGCCCGAACGCCTTGACTTTGCAATTACTTAATGCATCGCCGACACGAAGCGGGTTATAATTTTCATTTGAAAATGTTACAACTGATACATAGCATGTAATAGCATCACTTAAGAAAGTAATTCATAACGGTTTCCTTGGAAATGCCAAGAAGGTGAAGGTTAG